ATTGGGAAAAGAGAGAGCCTTGAGCAGCTTGGAGATCTGGGGGGAAAAACAGGAAAATTGGGAAAATTGGGAAAATTGGGAAAAGAGAGAGCCTGGATCAGCTTGGAGATCTGGGGGGAAAAACGGGAAAATGGGAAAATTGGGAAAAGAGAGAGCCTGGATCAGCTTGGAGATCTGGGGGGAAAATTGGGAAAATTGGGAAAATTGGGAAAAGAGCCACGAGCAGCTTGGAGATCTGGGGGGAAAAACGGGAAAAATGGGAAAATTGGGAAAAGAGCCTCGAGCAGCTTGGAGATCTGGGGGAAAAACGGGAAAAATGGGAAAATTGGGAAAAGAGAGAGCCTGGATCAGCTTGGAGATCTGGGGGAAAAACGGGAAAAATGGGAAAATTGGGAAAATTGGGAAAAGAGCCTGGATCAGCTTGGAGATCTGGGGGGAAAAACGGGAAAATTGGGAAAATTGGGAAAACTGGGAAAAGAGAGAGCCTGGATCAGCTTGGAGATCTGGGGGGAAAAATGGGAAAAATAGGAAAAATTGGGAAAAATGGGAAAAATAGGAAAAAGAGCCTTGAGCAGCTTGGAGATCTGGGGGGAAAAACAGGAAAAATGGGAAAATTGGGAAAAACGGGAAAAATGGGAAAATTGGGAAAAGAGAGAGCCTGGATCAGCTTGGAGATCTGGGGGGAAAAACAGGAAAAATGGGAAAAATTGGGAAAAATGGGAAAAATTGGGAAAAGAGCCTGGATCAGCTTGGAGATCTGGGGGGAAAAACAGGAAAAATGGGAAAATTGGGAAAAATGGGAAAAATTGGGAAAATTGGGAAAAGAGCCTTGAGCAGCTTGGAAATCTGGGGGGAAAAATGGGAAAATTGGGAAAAATGGGAAAATTGGGAAAAATGGGAAAAGAGCCTTGAGCAGCTTGTAGATCTGGGGGGAAAAACGGGAAAAATGGGAAAATTGGGAAACATTGGGAAAAGAGCCTCGAGCAGCTTGGAGATCTGGGGGGAAAAACGGGAAAAATGGGAAAATTGGGAAAAATGGGAAAAGAGCCTCGATCAGCTTGGAGATCTGGGGGGAAAAACTGGAAAAATGGGAAAAGAGAGAGCCCTGGTGAACTTGGAGATCTGGGGCAAAAAAGCCAGAAAATGGGAAAATTGGGAAAAATGGGAAAAGAGAGAGGCTTGATGAGTTTGGAGATCTGGGGCGAAAAACAGGAAAAATGGGAAAATGGGAAAAATGGGAAAAGAGAGAGCCTCGATCAGCTTGGAGATCTGAGGAGAAAAACGGGAAAAATGGGGAAAATCGGAAAATGGGAAAAATGGGAAAAGAGAGATCCCATTGGATTTAGGGCTATCCCACTGGATTTTGGGATCTCCCATTGGAGTTAGGGCAATCCCAATGGATTCAAGGCAGTCCCAACGGATTTAGGGCTGTCCCAATGGATTTAGGGCTGTCCCAGTGGATTTAGGGCTGTCCCAGTGGATTTAGGGCTGTCCCAGTGGATTTAGGGCTGTCCCAGTGGATTTAGGGCTGTCCCAGTGGATTTAGGGCTGTCCCAGTGCATATTTCCGGGATCCTAACGGATTTCTAGGGCTCCCCCGCTGGCTCTCGGGACACTCTGTGGGGTTTTTACGGGATCCCAGCGGCTCTGGGGCCATCCCAGCGGATTCCTGGGATCCCAGACCTGCTCCCGGTTGCTCTCCAGCGCGGGCAGCACCTCCTTGACCGTCCTCTCCACCAGCACCCCCCCGACCATGCGGAAACACTTCCGGGTGGGATCCACCTCCCGCAGGGTCTCGATCACCAGGCTGGGAACAGCGGGGTCAGCATCCCAAAATCCCCCAAATCCTCCCCCAGTCCTGACCCCAAATCACCAATTTCAATCCCAAATCCTGATCCCAATCCTGACCCCAAATCCCCGATCTCAATCCCAAACCCCAATCCCCAAATCTCAATCCTGACCCCAAATCACCAATCTCAATCCCAAATCCCTCCAATCCCAAATACTGACCCCAAATCCCAATCCTGATCTCAATCCCAAATCCTCATCCCAATCCTGACCTCAAATCCCCGATCTCAATCCCAAACCCCAATCCCCAAATCTCGATCCTGACCCCAAATCCCCGATCCCGAATCCCTCCGATTCCAATCCCCAATTCCAAATCCTGACCCCAAATCTCGATCCCAATCCCAAAGCCCCCAATCCTAAATCCCCAATCCTGACCCCACATCCCGACCCCAAATCTCCGATCCCGAATCCGTCCGATCCCAATCCCCAATTCCAAATCCAGACCCCAAATCTCGATCCCAAATTCTGATCCCAATCCTGAGCCCAAATCCCTAATCCCAAATCCCCCTGATCCCAATCCCCAATCCCAACCCCAAATCCTCCAATCCCAAATCCCCAATCCTGACCCCACATCCTGATCCCCGATCTCCCAATCCCCCAATCGCAAATCCCCAATCATGACCCCACATCCCAACCCCCGATCCCCCAATCCCAATCCCCGATCCCGACCCCACATCCCCAATCCTGACCCCACATCCCAATCCCCGATCCCGACCCCACATCCCCAATCCTGACCCCATATCCCAATCCCCGATCCCGACCCCACATCCCCAGTCCTGACCCCATATCCCAATCCCCGATCCCGACCCCACATCCCCAGTCCTGACCCCATATCCCAATCCCTGATCCCGACCCCACATCCCCAGTCCTGACCCCATATCCCAATCCCCGATCCCGACCCCACCTGTGCTCGTTGAGCTCCAGCTCCAGCTCGGCTGCTTTGGAGGCCAAACCCCGCTGGTCCTGCCGCAGGCGGTTAAAGCGGGAAACCACCTGTGAGTGGGATGGACTGGGATCAACTGGGATCCACTGGGATCAACTGGGACAGCCGGGAATGGGACTGGATTGGGATAAACCGGGATGGGAGAGCTGGGAATGGGATTGGATTGGGATAAATCGGGATGGGAGAGCTGGGAATGGGACTGGGTTGGGATAAACCGGGACTGGGAAAGTTGGGATCCCCAGGATGTGATCTCTGGGACTGGGAAAATTTGGATCCCTGGGATGGGATCTGTGGGACTGGGATCCCCGGGATGGGATCTGTGGAACTGGGATGGGATCCTCGGGATGGGATCTCTGGGACTGGATCTCACTGGGGGCACCAGGAGAGCCCCGGGATGAGGGGGAACCCCTGAGGAACAAAATCCCCCCAACC